TAAAAAAAGAATAAAAACTTAAAAACCTTGAAAATAACTTATCTTTTGCTTATCTGTTTAACTGATGCTTTGGAATTCTTTTTCTAGATAACTTGTTCGGAACTGCTCAGTAAAATGAGAAATAACCACAATTTTAAATAACTAAATTATATCTTTCTAAAAAGAAAACAAACGTAGCGATGTTATTAGAAATCCAATGAGTTAATAACTTAGGCACAGCACATATGGAGATTGAAATGTGATTTGTGATAGGATCTCGTGAATAGAGAAAGGTATATTGAAGAAGTAGTTCATCGAAACAACACAGTTATAGCCCCAAATCAGTATTGTCATTGCTAATGTGAACTGTTATTTTTATAGCACACCCGTTGTAGTACAGTTACATAGAGCTGCTGGGCACTGTTACTTCTGACCCTCAGGAAGCTTTATTGGTGTGAAATCACGTTTATCCTTGGTTGGAGATGAAAGTAAGTTACTCTGTTTGAAGAAATCTTCTGTTGGAGCATTTGTTGGATGCATGTAAGTACTGGTTTCTATTTTTCTGAGATGATTTAAGGTTTTCTTTTAGTAGAATGTTTACCTCTTTTTTTTTTCAGAGTCTGAGAAGTCAGCACTTGCCTTGAAAGGTATTACATTTCCCCCCAAAGTTATATTAGAAATTTATCTCTGGTTGGCGAGGTTAATTTTAGAATGATCCAAAAAACAAATATCAATTATATTTTATTTTATGAAAAATATTCTCAGAGGGTGGGTAGTTGGGTGTCTAGAGAAGTTGGTATGTTCTTTTGAGTTAATGGGTATTTGTTTATTATATAATTGGTGAATAAGTCATTTTTTTCTGTATTTTAAAGATTTGCCTATTATTTTGTGTTGTTAGCTTTTGGAAAATTAGGTTTTTTCTTTCTTATGTGAAAATGAAATATGTAAAGCACTTTGTATGTTAAGTTGCATATGAAGTACTTGGTAAATGCTAGCCCTTTCTATGAAGAGGTGGAATTAGTTTGGAGATATTTAACCTCAGTTTTTCCTGATCTTAAGAAAGGAGGAGAACTTCTTTGTGATTTTTTTTATCTGAAAGTGAGGAGTCACTACTTTTGATAGAATAGGACAGATGGTCATCAGTTGGGGGTTGTTCCAGAAGAGACAAGACCCGGGATGGGGTGCAGGTTGCCACTAGATGCTGCTGAGGAATCTGTGTTCCCTTTGAAGTGACGTCTGTAGGCCAGGATCGTCTCCTTCTCACTCACATAAAGGACATAGGATGGTTTACACATGAGATGGAGGAGGAAGAGAAATCCTGAATTATGGAGAAGAAAGGCAGCTCATTTCTCCAGGCCCCAAAAGATGCTTAGCTAACACTCTTTTGTGCATGAAGAGAAAATGGCAAACATTATTTTATAGGGAGGTGAATACTGAAATGCTGACATTTACTAAACTGACTGAAATAAATTCTTTTGAGTCTGAAAGAAAATAATTGATATTCATGGTAGGATATAAAGATGTTTAATATACTGCCTGAAACAACAGTACACATTAAAATTATATGGAATACAATTTGTATTTTTCTTGGTGGAAAATTGTATGGCATAGATACTCATTAGTCAGAACACTATACATCCAGACCATGCCTGCTAATTTGAGAGTCATGTATTATTCTCTAGACAATAGATTCTTGTCTTGTTATTCATCTGAAATCTAAGAAATGCTACATAAAGATTGAAAAGTCATGCAATGTATAGATCACAGAACCTAAATCTCTTGTAATTGGGGTTTATGTACAGTATTTTATGGTAGTTATGGCAAAACTATAATGAAGACTTACATCAAAAAAGTTTATCTCAGAAAGCTGGAGTTTTCGTGATTATAACTTATCAGTACAGCCTTTTGAATTTGAAAATAAAGTTATGCTTTATGTCATGTTGTCAAAAGCTAGTTTCATTGCCTTTCCCAGCAGTAGGAAAACGGTCAGTCATTTCTTAATTTCAGGCTTCATGAGTCAGAAGCCCTCCCAAATTGACTTTGGACTTTTATTTCATGACATAATGTATCCAAATGATTTGTGAGTTGACACAAGAACCAAAGTTTCATAATTATCTTCAAATCAATGATAATATTAAATGTGTTTTTTTTTCCTGAGAGATTATTAAAATGATAGTGGATTTTGTAATTGATGGCATTTTAGGATTGAAAAGGTAATGTGTTGTTGTTTTTTTAAACCAGTAATATAGAAAGGATGCGAACTTCTTTTACCAAAGTAAATTGAAATATGTCACTTTAGTCATTTGCAATTCAATAGGCCCACTTGAATGGAAGAGAAGGGGCAGCCCTATAGCTAGCCTACTGTGAATCGTGCCTTAATGTGTGTTGTGTGTGAACTTCACCTGTTGTGTGTGCCAAGGTGGAAGAAAGGTTGAGAAACGTTGGTCTTCACTTTGTTGGGAGACAAAGGGTTGAGATGGCTTCTTTTCACAGTGCTTCTTTTGACATCTATTAGCCAAGGAATCCTGATCTCTCTCTTCCCTCCCCCCTCCCTCCCCCTCAGGAGAGGGAATTTAGGATAAATAACTGGACATAAAAGCTCCTTTCTCTCCTTCATTTGGATTCATCTTGCCTGCAGAGAGCCAAGCTTAACAGATACATAAGCTTGGCAGTGAAGGCTCCCTGCCTCTGTGGTTGGGCAGGACTGCCCATGCTGGGTGAGTAGGTCTGTCTGATTCTGGATTTGATATTAGGTGGCCGTTGTTGGCATGAATCTAAATTACATCCTTTAACCTAGACTTCTTCAGCAATACGTCCTCCATACTGGTTCTCCACCTGCCTGACTCCTTTTGTCTCTCAAATGCTTCACAAGTCAGGAGGGGGCATGGGTACTATATGCCCCCTCCTAACCCCCGACAAAAAATGAGTGCCTATTATATTTCAAAGTAAGCACGACACAAAAACCAAATTAGGAAATTTTTTCTAATTCTAGATTTTTGTGGTAAACCATGGAAATTCTATTGAAATGGGTAATGTTAATTACAAGGTAACATGTAAACATTTGTCCAGGATATTTAAAAGGTCTACTGACTTGGAATTGTGATAGACCACAATGTTGACTCTAGTTTTAATTGGAAGGAAAGAATTTGAGACAAACCATGATATCCTCTGTGAACACGGTCAACTTTCTTACATATACTAAAAACACCCATTATAAACTTACAGTTTGAGGAGTTTAGACATGTGAATGCCTATGCAATCACCATTACCATCAAGATACAGAATATTTCCATCACCCAAAAAGTTCTCTTGGGCTCGTTTGAAGTCATTCTCTTCCACCCCAACAACCAGTACTGTTCTGTTCCCTGTGATTATACGTTAGATTTAACTTATCTAGAATTTCAAATAAATATGTACTTTGTGTCTGACATTTTTTGCTCAGTATAATACTTTTGTGAACCATCCATGTTGAGATTTATCCATGTTACTGTGCATATCAGCAATATGTTCCTTTTTATTGTGGAGTATTATTCTGTTGTGTGAATATACCACAATTTGTAGCTTTTCATATTGTTGATGGACATCTAGGCTGTTGATGAATATCTTGAGTTTGATCTGTTATGAATAAAGCTGCTATGTATACTAGTATGTGTTACAAGTTAGTGTGTGGATATGTTTTCACTTCTCTTGGGTTAACTACTTGGGGGTGGATTTGCTGAGTTTTATGGTAAATATATATGTGACTGTAGAAGAAACTGACATTTTTCCAATTTGTTTTGTACCAGCAATGTATTAAAAAGTTTTAGTTGCTCCATCTCCTTGGTATTGCCATTGTTTTTTATTTGAGTAACTTTAGTGGATGTGTAGTGTATCTCATTGTGTGTTTTTTTAAAAATTTTCTTTATTGTTTAAGGTATTACATATGTGTCCTCATCCCCCCAAACCCCCCCCCCCATGCCCTCAACCCCCCTGTATTTCATTGTGGTTTTAATATACATTTCCCTGATGATGTTGGGCATCTTTTCATTTGTTTATTTTACATTTGTATCTTCTTTTGGGAAGCACTTGTGCAAATCTTTTGCACAATTTTTATTTGGGTTATCTTTATATAAAGCTATAAGAAATCTTTTTCTATATTCTGGGTAAAAATCCTTTATGAGATCTATGGATTGTAAATATTTTGTCCCTATCAGTGACTTGCCTTTTTGTTTTCTTTTTAAAATATTTTTATTGATTTTCAAAGAGAGAGGAAGGAAGAGGGAGAGATAGAAGCATCAATGATGAGAGAGAATCATTGATTGGGTGCCTCCTGCACACCCCCTACTGGGAATTGAGCCTGCAACCTGGGCATGTGCCCTTGACTGGAATCGAACCCAGGACCATTTAGTCCACAGGCTGTTGCTCTATCCAGTGAGCTAAACCAGTTAGGGCCTTTTTGTTTTCTTAATATCCTTTGAAGAGCAGAAGCTTTACATTTTGATGGAGTCCAATTTTCATTTGTTTTCTTTTCTGTTATAGTTTCTTTGGGCTGAGAATCTGCTTACTCCAAAGTCAAGACAGAGTTTCTATGTTCTGCTAGAAGTTTTGCAGTTTTAGCTTTTATAGTTATTTAGGTCTGTGATCCATTTCAAGTTAATTGTATGTATGGTTGTAGGTAAAGGTTGAGTTTTTGTTTTGTTTTTATACCCAGTTATTCAAGCACCATTCATTGAAAAACTCCATCTTTGTTGAAAATCAATACATTGAAGGTTTGTCTGAGCTCTGTATTCTGTTACACTGGTATATATGTCTATTCTTATGCCAGTAACACACTGTCTTGATCACTAGCTTCAAAATTGTAGTCTTAAAAAAAATCAGTGGTTTTTTTCCCCAGTAATGTCCCCATACCCCCATTTAGTTCATCACTTAATTTTGTTCATTAGGTTCCACATATTAGTGAGATCATATGGTATTTGTCTTTTACTGACTGGCTTATTTCACTTAGCATAATATTCTCCAGGTCCATTCATGCTGTCGCATAGTGTAAGATTTCCTTCTTTTCTGCAGCTGTGTAGTATTCCATTGTGCAAATGTACCACAGGCTTTTTATCCAGTTATCTGCTGATGGCACTTGGGCTCTTTCTAGATGGTGGCTATTGTAAATAACGCTGCAATGAACATAGAAGTATATACATTATTTCTGATTGGTGTTTTTGGATTCTTGGGCTATCTTCCCAGAAGTGGGATTGCAGGGTCAAAAGACTATTCTCTTAAGAGTGAGCCAGAACCAACAATAAAGACATTTTTATGGACTGGATTGTGCTGCCACCTCCCAATTCACATGGTGAAGCTCTATCCCCAAAGTTATTATTTGAAGACTAGAGGCCCAGTGCACGAAATTTGTAGGGCCTGTCTCGCTCAGTCCCAATTAGCCGGACCCCAGCAGCAAGCTAACCTACCAGTCAGAGTGTCTGCCCGCTGGTGGTCAGTGCACGTCATAGTGAGTGGTTGAGCAGCCTTAGCATATCATTAGCATATTATGCTTTAATTGGTTGAACGGATGACTGGACACTTAGCTTATTAGGCTTTTATTATATAGGATAGGGCCTTTAAGGAGATAGTTAAGGTTAAATGAGGTTATAAGGGTTGCATCCTAATTCAATATGACCAGTGTCTTTATAAGAGAGACACCACGTATTTTGTTATGGCAGCCCTAGCAAACTAATATAGCCATATAATCCAATTAAAATGATTTGAATAGATCAAATCAAATTTGTATGTTTTTCCAGATAAGACATACAAATGACCAATAAGCATATGAAGAGATTCTTAACATCATTAGTCAACTGGAGAAATGCAAATCAAAACTACTGCATGACTACTTCACACCCTTTAGGGTGGCTATAATCAGAAACATGGACAATAACAAGTATTGATAAGAATGGGGAGAAACTGGAACCCTTGTACATTGCTGGTGAGAATGTACAATGGTGCAACAACTTGGGAAAATTTGCAGGTCTTCAAAAAATTAAATATAGTTACCATGTGACTCAGCAATACCACTCCAAATATATAGAATTAAAAACATGTTAACATAAAAACTTGTATGGCATTATTAATAATTATGCTATTGGCATTATTAATAAAAGCCAAAAAATGGAAACAACCTCAATGTCTATCAGCTGATGCATGGATAATCAAAATGTGGTATTTATACTAAGAAAAGGGTAATATGCTAATTAGAGTCGAACGGACATTTTCCAAATGTCTGACTTCCTTTTGGACAAAGCCATGATGGTGGGGGCCAAGGCAAAGGCAGTTAGGGGCGATCAGGCCAGCAGGGGAGCAGTTAGGGGGCGATCAGAATGGCAGGGGGGCAGTTAGGGGGTGACCAGGCCGACAAGCAGAGGCAGTTAGGGGTAATCAGGCTGGCAAGCAGAGATAAGTTAGGAGTGATCAGGCAGGCAGGTAGAGTGGTTAGGGGCAGTCATGCAGGCAAGTAGGTGAGTGGTTAGGAGCCAGTGGTCCCAAATTGCGAGAGGGATGTCTTACCCTGAGGGGTCCCAGATTGGAGAGGGTGCAGGCCTGACTGAGGGACCCCGCGCCACCCCTCCCTCCCCCCCGCACGAATTTCATGCACCAGTCCTCTAGTATCCATATAATGAAATATTATTCAGCCATAAAAAGGAAAGGAGTACTGACTCATGCTTTAATATGGATGAACCTTGTAAACATGCTAAGTGAAGAAAGCCAGTCATTGAAGGCCACACACATATATTGTATGATTCCATTAATGCCTAGAATAGGCAAATCCATATGGTGGCTGCCAGGGGCTGGGGTTAGAGATTAGAGAGCGAATGCAAATGGGTACGTGGTTTCTTTCTGGGATGATGACTATATTCTGGAATTAGATAGCAGCGATGGTTGCACTTGGTGAATGTACTAAAATACAAGGCAAATTATAAAATATGTGAATGATATTTCAATTAAAAATAATCCAGAGTCAGTGTTCTGGATGGTGAATCTGAAGAAAAGGATGAGTGATTTTATGCTTTGATAACTTAGTAATGCTAACTTATGAATGTGGCTTTAGTTTTTCCTCCATGAATGTGGGTGATGAATATATACATTATATATTCATTTACATATAAATCTAGGTGTTTCATTGTGTACATGGGAGAAAAAAGCCTCTTTCACAAGTAAAATATTCCCTGAAAACATTTCTTAGCAACTGATTAGTATAAATTGAGGAAACAGAACTATTTTCATTGGTAAAATGGGACATTTTAGAAATTTGAGCTGGATGCTCTCTCTCTGTATGTATGTATGTGTGTTTGTGTTTGTGTGTGTGTGTGTGTGTGTGTGTGTGTGTGTGTATAATTTCAGAGAGGAAGGGAGAGATAGTAGAAACATCAGTGATGGGAGAGAATCATCCATCAGCTGCCTCCTGCACACCCTTAGCTGCCTCCTGCACACCCTCTACTGGGGATCGTGCCTGCAACCCACACATGTGTCCTTGACTAGAATTGAACCTGGGACCCTTCAGTCCACAGGCCAATGCTTTATCCACTGAGCCAAACCAGCTAGGGCTGGATGCTCTCTTTTTGAGCCATCCCTGCCTCAGCTGAGAATCAGTTCCATCACGTCTGTGAAAATGAGTCGTTTTGCTGACATTATCCAAAAATACATTTAAAAACTTGTGAATAGCAAATCATGACTTTGCTCCTGGGGACTATTGCTCCTTGAAGTGTGTCATTCAGGCAGAGTCAGCATCGCCTAGGAGCTTTTTACACATGTGCATCCTCCTGCCCCTCTCCCCGCCAAGACCTCCCGGGTCAGAAACCGTTTTCAAGCTCTCCAGGTGACATACATGCTGAAGTGTGAGAACCGCTGAGAATTTACAAGCAGGAAGTCATACTGTCTCTCCCACCACCCATACAAACAGGTGAGGTAAGTACCTAGATCTTGGTTTCTAAATACCATTCTCCACTAAATCTGTCCAAGATTTTCTACTATTCTTGTAACTTTTCTGTAAATTTGACATCGTATCAAAATAAAAATTTAAAAAACTATTCCAACTGAAAAAGATAGAAAATAACCTAAAACAAAGGAAAGTATCACACTGTTCTCTCCAAAACCAAGGATATGGAACTCTGAGTGAGTGTATTTATTTATTATAATCTCCAAAATAATTTCAGTTGGTACAACTGCTTCTTTAAACCATATCACTATCAGGCTCAGAATTTAATTACAACCAGGTAATTCACAAAAACACTTGTAAGCAACAAAACATGCCTAATATTTCTTTGAGAAGGTTTCCTTCATATGTGTATAGCATTACGGGGCATGACACAAAACAGAAGGTGACCGCTCGTGCCCACGCACTGCACCCGTTATCTGGTTAGACTTCTAACATCTGTGAAAGGTTAACCAATCCTTTCACGTTGCAAAGTAAAAGTCATTATGGTGCATGCAATCCGTCTTCCTCTTAAGTTTTCAAGGATGTTCTAGATCATTTCTTAGGAAAGTAAAACTATACACAATTTCAGGGGGAAAACAAGCTGCTTAGACTTTTTATTTTTATATTGTACACTTCAACTACGAGTTGTTTATTAAAGACTTTCAAAATGTTATGTTACATTTTAAAAGTACCAGTTTGTGGGGACAAAAGTAGAAAATATTGGCCAATATGTTAGGTTCTCCTGAAATCACAGATTTCTGGATAAATACATGTAGCCAGCACTAAACATTTCTCACTATGAAGTACACATAGGTTGGGAAGGAACTTCAATAGTTTGGACTGTAATTTTCATGTCTTAAAATAGTATTTTTCTTCATTCTTTTAATAGTACTAAACTCTTCCTTTTAAAAAAATCTATATCCATTTTATAGGTATTAGTTTCTCTGTGAATTTGCAACACTTCAGCCTGAACTTACTTATGAAAATAAAATCTAACATCTATAACTTCAGCTTGTTATACTGGGGACGAGAGGGGTTGCCATACACTTATACCTTGTATTAACAATAAACCTTCTCACAGAGAAGAAAATACTTTAAATACCTTAAATCATATTTACAACGATAAAATTCACATTTCATGCTTTAGTGAGACACTTCAATCATCCCTAAGATCGATAGTCCTTGTAGTTCACTGGCCTGCAGCCCCGCCTGCTGTGCGCAGGTATAACGCTCCGCTCCGAATGTTCTGACAGGAGCAAAACGTGGCCGTGTTCCCGTGAAACTGAGGGTAGATCTCTGCAGTCGAGTTCGGACCCAAATCCACCCCCACAGGTGTGATCAAGAGTTTCAGGCCTCAGGAGCCATGTGAACCCGCTTGATGGTTTGAAACGTGCTCAAAACCCAGATGCCCCTCAGGGGAGTCCCAGGACGAAAACAGCCCTTCCGAGCACAGCTCAGTAAATGCTTCACCGCGTGTCTGTTGCACAGGATGTTGTGAGCTTCCAGACACAGAGCTGTACTCGCTCCTTAGCCACTATATACACTTTTCTGACAAGTTCAGTGTTTCAGTGGGGAATGTGACTTGCAGGGAGCTGCCCTTGGGGGCAGGCCCAGCAGTGCCCGCAACCTCGTCCACCAGTAAGACGCTCTCTGAGTCGTGCCCCTGCGAGGAGTCCGAGGTCTCTGAGATTCGCAAAGTCCTCAGGGAGGTGGTGTCCGCTTGGGGCAGGCTCATGCCAGGCACCCCCGGCAGCAAATTCCTGCCCGCCAGGCCCGCGTCACCGAGGTCTGGCATGTACAGGAGAGTCTGGGACGTGCTGCTGACCTCCCTCAGCTCCCGGGACAGGAAGGAGCGCGAATGGCCGGACAGGGCGGAGGATGTCCGGCGGCTGTCGGAGCAGTGCTGCCCCGAGGGGTCTCTGCCGGACCCGCCGATGCGGCAGAAGAGGCATTTGATCTTCTCCATGGCTTTGCTGAGCACTGTCTTCCGCAGGAGGATGTAGATCCAGGGGTCGAGGATGGGGTTCACCGAGGCGATTCGGATGGCCTGCAAGTCTGGGTTTTTGCTGATCTCTTTCACTAAGTCCGGCCGATACAACTGGTTGATGAACACTCGCACCTGCACAAACGAGATGGCCACGATCAGATTTTACTTTTGGTCAACCGGGAAACGTCTGCTGCAGCGTTTAATTTAGCAACAGTAGGTAGCTGCCCTCTTTTCTGGTAATAAGTGCCAAAGAAAGAGGATAAGCGCCAGGAACACCATTTGCTGTGCAGCTGCAGTTATGTTTCGAGTCCGTGTAACTTCAAATATTTTTGTAACATGCCTTTCCTAGATCAAAGATGCCATACAAGAATGCAACATGTGAACAGGTAACAGTGCATAAAGTTCCCTTGAAAAGCATTTTATTAACTTCATTTCTAAGTGCTTTTAAGGTTTGGTAATTCTAATGAAGTATTTTTTTAATTTTTTATTTATTGATTTTAGAGAAGCAGAAGAAGGTAGAGAGAGAGAGAGAGAGAGAGAGAGAGAGAGAGAGAGATCTGTTTGTTGTTCCACTTACTTATGCATTCATTGGTTGACTCCTGCATGTACCCTTACTGGGGACTGAACCTGCAACTTTAGATCCCACAACCTTGGTGTATTGGGACGATGCTCTAATCAACTGAGCCCCCTGGCCAGGGCAAGAATTCTTTTTTCTCCAATAGCCTTTTATTTTCCTTATTCCAGCTGCCTCTTACATTGAAGTGAAACTCATTTTGTAAGTCAGCTAACCATCTAGTCATCACAGACAAGCCCAGAGATTCCTTTATTTTAGAGTCTAGAGAGAATATACTGTAACTGTTGAGCCAGTGTCTGAATCTGCTGTCATCCAGAATGACCAGAGAAGTTTTTATTTTTTTTCTGAGTCTGTTCCCCAGTCATAATAAACTCTTCCTCTAAAACTCGTTCCAATCTTTTCCCTAACTGCATTCCTCACCTGGATCATTGCGTCAGCCACGAAACGAGAGTTCCCACCACCAAAAGCTCTCCTCTCCAATTCATCCTCCAAACTGCCACCAGAAGATTATTTCTAAAATGCAGATCTGATCATGCTACTTAGCTCCCTGCGGCTTTTGAACTCTTGTTCTGCTCTGCAACTCTGCTCAATGACTCCACCCTGAAATTCCAATCAGAATCCTGCCTTTGTGCCTGTCCAGCATTTGAGCTGGTAAATAGCCATGAGCTAAAAGAACACTCTGTACGCACCAGTAGGGATGACGGGTCATCCTATGCAGATGGAGCTGTTTAGGGGAAGAAGCATGTGGGCCAGCCCACATACCCACAGGCCAGGTATGGCTTAAACGAAAGAAACACAAGGAGACCCTAACAACCTGCTTGCTGTTTTGGAGCCTTATTTTTGGCAGTTAGAAAATTTTGCTCTTACTGTAATCACTTATTTACTCACTTCTTTGGGGGGTAATTTTCACTCCAGAATGTAAAGTTCTTTCTGATTAAAGAACGGGACAATCTTGTGGGACAAAGCCACTTGGTTTTTTCCCACCACAGTCTTGATTGAGGTTCTCGGCTGTGTCTGGACAGATTCACCTCCCTGACATCTACGGGCCTCTTCTTGGATGAAATGTTGCTGGGATCTAGAGGTTTAGAGGAACTTATCCAGGTCTCCACTCTGTTGGTGGCCAACTCTGGTCTGGGCCCCAGGTCTCCAGATGACTGACCTCCATGTTGCTTTTTCTGTTTTACCAGGCTGGCTGGCTTTCTGTTTAACAGTTATTTCCCAGCAATGGAATTATTGCTAAAAAGAATGGGGCTTATATTTTGCTCATATCCTATACTGTTGTTCCTAAAAAGAAAAGAAATGATGGATTAAATTAGGGGCACTCTGGGCGTACACAGACTCCAGGAAAAAGAAAGACCTATGGCAGTTTATAGAACTTGAGACTTGCAGCCTCTAGGTGGCAGTGTTGTTCCACTTGGGACTCTGGTCCCACGGAGCATTCCTAGGAAGCATTTGCCCAGCTAACTCTGAAGACTTCAGAACAGAATTTTGGTGAAGTCTGAATTTAGCATTTCTGATATTTTTAACATTTAAATGTTTTGTTGCTGGTTGCTTCCCCCACTACAACCTCAAAGAAAACATGGTTACTAATGAAAGGCAGTTAAAATGGATATAAAAGGAATGAAATTTGTAGCTATTTAAGGGAATGTATTAGGGGTTAGCATTTTATTTTTAAATTTCTACGATCTTTTAGAAAGATGAGAGTTTTGTAAAAAAAAATATTTAACAATGGGCTTTCATAATCAAAGATGATGATGGGCAAGGAAAGAATTATTTCTAAGCCTCACTTCATCCACAGCAGTAATTAATTTTGACTACTGTAGAGGAAATGAAAGGAAGCCCTCTTTATTTATTTTAATAGGAGAAAAGAGATACAAATTTATTAATATATTTTATGTGCACAGGCATTCACAAAAAAAGAAAAGAGGGTTTGGGCTTCCAGAGAGGTCACATGTGGGGCAGTAACTAGGGGATATACGGGGGACTAATGGAAGATAAGAGGTTTTTTAAGGAGGTTTATGCAGGCTCATCTTGGTGCTGGCTGGTTCTGTCTCCCGTGATAAGGGTCACTCTACTCACCCTGGTTCTGGGAGGGAGGGGGGAAATCTATGCCACCTTCATGAAGGGAAATTCATGCCATGCTTTTAGTCAGATAAGGGCAGGAAACTAAGGAAGCCCAATTTTAGAGTCATTTTTGGA